TTGTATAAAATATTATATAGACTTTTATGAGATTATTCACATGAATTTTTTTTTTGTTTGATTTAACTCTAAAATATGTGAATTGTTTTTACGATTTTATCACGAAACTAATATATATTCATAATGGGTAAAAATATTTTTTCACTTCTTTACAAATACTTTCCATGTATTTTACTTCTAAGTGATTAGATGGTTTCATTATGGTTATTACATGTGAATGAGATTCAAAGTTGGTTACTAGAGACAAGGGAGGTTTTCTTTCACTATGTGCTATTCTTTTAGGTGCCAGTTCTAGATTTAGACAAATTCTTTGTTGAAAAGAAGGATAATTAGGACTCAAGAGACGCTGGTTTCCTTTTTCYATCCTTATTGTTTCCGTTAAGGATTTGTGTTGTTTGCACATCAGCAATCCATGACCTATTGCTTTTCTTTCATCTCTTCATCAAATTTTCATGCTCATATTCAATMAATGTCATGCTGATGGCTTTTCCTTCACAACACAAAGTATATAATCAGTGTTATCTTCTGAATTTGCAGACATGAGCTATTGCTTTTCGAGGCTCTTCAGGAAGGTTTGGAAGAAGAGATGGACAGAGATCCACATGTATGTGTTATGGGTGAAGAYGTAGGTCATTACGGAGGCTCCTACAAAGTAACCAAAGGCCTTGCTGATAAATTTGGAGACCTCAGGGTTCTCGACACCCCTATTTGTGAAAATGCATTCATTGGAGCTGCCATGACTGGTCTAAGACCTGTCATTGAAGGTATGAACATGGGTTTCCCTCCTCCTTGCCTTCAACCAAATCTCCAACAATTGTGGAATGCTTCACTACACATCAGGTGGTCAGTTCACGATCCCTGTTGTCATCCGTGGAGCTCGGCGCTGAGCACTCACAGCGGTTGGAATCTTACTTTCAGTCCATCCCTGGGATCCAGATGGTTGCTTGCTCGACTCCTTACAACGCCAAAGGTTTGATGAAAGCCGCGAGAATCCCGTGATTCTGTTCGAACATGTCCTACTCTACAATCTCAAAGAGACAATCCCGGAAGAAGAATACATCTGTAATCTTGAAGAAGCTGAGATGGTTAGACCCCGCGAGCACATTACCATCCTCACTTACTCGCGGATGAGGTACCATGTGATGCAGGCAGCAAAAACTCTGGTGAACAAAGGGTATGACCCTGAGGTTATCGATAACTAAAACCGTTTGATCTTTACACGATCGGAAACTCGGTTGGAGGAGTGTATGAGAACCGGAGGGATTGGAGCTAGTCTTACAGCTGCCATTAACGAGAACTTTCATGACTATTTAGATGCTCCGGTGATGTATTTGTCTTCTCAAGATGTTCCTACACCTTACGCCGGTACACTGGAGGAATGGACCGTGGTTCAACCAGCTCAGATCGAGCAACTTTGCCAGTAAAATCCATATTTATCCAGTGAACCATAATTACTACCATTATATCTCTCCATTTCCTTTCTATTTAGCTTAGTTCTTTAAGCATTTGTCTAAGTAGTCTGGTTTTTTTGTTAAAGTTGTTGTGTCTTTGGAATATGGTTTTGAAACTTAGAAATGTTTGGTTTGTTAATTTTTCTCCCACATTATAATTTTCTTTACTTTTTAGTTATAAACATATACACAACTCAACCAAACAAAGATTTTTATTATTACAATGCCTCCACAAACAAAGCTTCTAGTACAATAACTAATCTTGTTTGTTGTACTAATTCCAATWAATTTCGAACCTCTAGAATTTTCTTTACACTTGGTTATAATTATAAACAAATACACAACTCATTTCTTTCTTAATCCAAAGTTCCAAACAAAGACTTTATTACAATAAGATATCAAAACCTTCTAGTACCAATAACCAATTTACAAAAAATGAAAGAAAAAACAAAACGTAGAGAAAAGCTTTTATGAATTCCAAAAGGGTTCCATTAAGAAGAACCCCCAAAAATAGAAAAAAAACAACAGTTTAAAAGAAAGAATAAAATCATTGAGTTTTGGTTTCTTATTACCATTTGGCTGATTTACATTTAGCAGCTCTTCCTGTATCATTCAAGTAAGAACCAAAAGTCTTAATGACTTCTTCATAAGTAGGCCTTTTGTAATCCACTGCTTGCTCTACCACTTCTTCCGGTTTCGCCCATTTCCATTCAGCAAACTCTGAATCCGCTGCTTCGTTGTTCGCTAGATTGATCTCTCTTTCGTCCTCATCGTTTCTTAGTCTCACTARAAACCTGTAGATATCAATCATTGAGAATTTCAAAAACAATGAGCCATTCATTCATTCTCCTTCTTGTGTTCAAAATGCGAAAACTTTAGGCGGTATTAAAGACTTTACCATTTTTGAGCTTGACCATGCCATTCACCGCCCCAAAGACGGTTAACCTTTGCTTTTACTGCAGGCGGGAAATCATACGTCAACCAATTCGGA